AATTCTCTCCTACTCTCCTAAAGGATTTCCCAAATCTCTTACCAATTCTGTTCATTTCTCTGGGCAAGCAGCAGCCCATTGCTAGCATGCAGAAGTTCAGGCGGCAGATGTAGCAGAGCCGGCTGGCAGAGAACCCCAGAGGGCAAATGCAGCAAAGCCAGCTGGAGTAACCCCTTTTTCTGTGTGGTTCTACCACCCACTGGTGCTCCAATTGTTGTCCTTTTTAAAAACGGTTGCTGCCTTTTAAGCCACAGCTGTCTGAATCAGCAACTACAACTCCACTGATACCACCAGTGGTTAGGCCGCAAGGGCTGTAGCTGGAGGGAAATCTGTTCCCTCTGGCTCCAACTCCTGCAAAGCTATGAAGGAAACTTAACTAAACCTCTCTCCCTCTAAAGAACTCAAGATTCAAAAGTTAATGTGGAATTCTGCTCTTCAGAGAGGCTGAATAGCAAGTAGCTCACCTCCTCTCCTTGCTCGAATCCTCAAAAAGCCCCTTTTCACCTGTCTCCTCCCTACCACTTCCTATCAGCTAGTTGCTGACTCAGCCTCCTGACCACAGGTGAATTTTATTTAATCAAACACATTTTTGAATCATTAAACAAACATTCCTCTTGTATATTATTAATGGACCAGCCTTAATAATATACTTCCCAGGGTGCCCAGGAGAGATGCTACCAACGGCGAGGGAATAATTTTCGGGAAAAGAGTCTAAGTACACCAAGCTCTTTGTCCATCTACTTTATTCCTCTGGGATAAAATCCTATCTACATAGCTTCAGTTCCGTCCTGACATTCAGTTCCTCTGTCCCTTCTTTTACCGACCCCTCACAGCTCTAGCAATAACTAAGCCCTTATGCCTTCAGCCTCATCTTCGTCTCCTGTTCCTTTGTCCTTAGCTCCTTCCTAGCTGCTTACTCCTGGCTCTCAGAAAACTCTACAAGAGATCTGCTTTACCCTCTGCTCAACCTCTGTTTTCCTCTCTTCTCCCTGGCCACGCGGTTCTGTCTCAGCTGTTCCTGCCTCACCCTTCACTCTTCCTCTCCTCTCTCTGGCCATGAGGTTCTGTGTCTCTGGAATTCTGTTCCAGTCCTTACTGCAGCTGGTTATGCAAAAAGCCCTACTGTTCTCAGTCCATTGCTCTGGAATGCCACTAGGCTTGAAAGCAAGGGATGGTATGAGCTTCATTTGCACAAGAAGCAAAACTGCATCTACAGCCTGCTTGTCTCCTAGGCTCAGTGGGGGAGTTAGTTACCTAGAAGTTCAGCAGGTCTGAGGAGCTGAACTGTTTGCCAAATGGTCTGGGAATATTTGGGCATGCAAGAATTTCATAGCAGAAGACAGCTGGAATATTAAAAACTGGATAGCATCAAATATTCCATGATAAATGGCTTGCCTTTTAACAGACCCTTGACTGGTCAAAGTATAGCTTTAATACACAGCTGAATCTCTATAATATATTCTTGTGGCCCACAAGACATTCTAGAGCATAAACAAAAGCAACACACCTTGAAATAATATTCTACAACAGTGAAGAGCTATACTTCAACATCTTTGTCACAATTTTTAAGGACTCTCTTCAATAGCTTCCTGTCTAGAGTGTTTCTTTGGGGTGGGGGGAGGTTGTCACAGAGGCCTCTCATTCAGTGTCTCTCATTCTCAGTTAGGAATCTGCAGTCATCGATATCACTGTAAAAGAAGCTTCCTTGTCCATAGCACTCTGTGGCAGCATGGAACACTGACTGACCTCACATGGTCTCTGGCAGTAACATGGACTGCAGATGGACTTTTCTTTGGGCAGCCAACTCACAAAATATGACATGGAGATGTATTATTTATGAAAGCCCTGCCTTAGCTTAGGCTTATAACTCTTATGACTTAAACTAACCCATTTATATTAATCTATGTTTTGCCTCATGGCTTTTTAACCTCTCTTCCATCTTTCACCTCCTGTTTCCTCTCCATGTCCTCAGGCTGGCATCTCTTCTGCGCCTAGATTCATCTCTTCTTCCCTCTCTGCCCAGAAGTGCTGCCTAATCTCTTCCTGTCTAGCTTTTGGCCATTCAGCTCTTTATTAAACTAAGCAGAAGGTGCCTTGGCAAAAACACATCTTCACAGTATACAAAAAAATCTTTACACCGTGGACCATGGACCTCAGCATGGTTTCCAGTAGCAGCAAAGATCACAAACACCAACAAGGTCTCCTGTGGCAGCCCTGATCATGGATATCAGCATGGTTTCTGTCCCAGCACTGATTGTGGTGATATTGTGTTCCCCAAAATATTGTGCACCCTAATAAACTTATCTGGGGTCAGAGAACAGAACAGCCACTAGATATAGAGGCCAGAAAATGGTGGCACACACGCCTTTAATCCTATCACTTGGGAGGCAGAGATCCGTCTGGATCTCTGTGAGTTTAAAGCCACACTGGAAACAGCCAAGCATGATGACTCACGCCTTTAATCCCAGGAAGTGAGCCTTTAATCCCAGGAAGTGATGGCAGAAAGCAGAAAGGTATATAAGGCATGAGGACCAGGAACTAGATATGGTTAGGCTTTTGAGCAGCACAGTTCAGCTGAGAGGCATTTGGATGAGGACACAGAGGCTCCCAGTCTGAGGAAACAGGACCAGCTGAGGAACTGGCAAGGTGAGGTAGCTGTGGCTTGTTCTGCTTCTTTGATCTTCCAGCATTCACCCCAATACCTGGCTCTGGTTTTGTTTTTATTAAAAAGACCATTTAAGATTCATGCTACAGCTGATTGTTAGAATTCCTAGCCACTTCCCCAGCTACATGACCACACATGTGCTGTCCGGTAGCCAGGCAAGATGCTTAATCATCCTAGGGCCTTACGTCCTGTGTAATCCGTGTGCTGTGTGATCATGTAATCTATGCACATGCATGGCGTAGCTATGTAAGCCCATATGCACATGTGTGGAGGGAACCTATAAAAGCAGGTTCCACCTATTCCTTTCCCCTCTTCCCGCACAGCTATCCCATAGGCCTATGCACACCCCTTCTGTTCCCTTCCCTTAATAAAGTCTTATAGTGGATTTTGTTGTACCTTGTGGCTTTTCTCCCATGGTAAACAGCACCGCTTAATGAATAACACTGATCCCAGACATCATCGCCTCTGGCAGCAGCAGGGACCACAGATACTAACACGGCCCCTCTTTGGAGGATGCTTAATCCAGAAACCAAACCATCTGCATCTCTGATATCTTGTTGCTCATAGTCAGGGTGACCATGCAGTTGGGTAGCGCCCTTAGACACAGTACCTGCAAGAGCTCCAGGCTGCTGTACATCACCCTGCCCTTTGTGCTGGCCACCCTGCAGCAGCAGCTGATCCATGCTGAGGGCCAGGCTTACAGGCCGAGCGGCGGTACTGTGGGCATCTGGGTGAGGTAAGCAGGGAGTGGCCCAAGCCCCCCAGCAGCCCAAAGACTGGCTCCTTTGTTTGCTGAGGTGCTCCCATACACACCACAGAGACTCTAGTTCTGAGTCTCTCTGCTGAGCGCCACTCCTTTCAGCCATCTTTTCCTCCAGTTCCATGACATCACTTTTTGAAAGCATCTTCCCGTAAGACCTCCTTTCTTTAGCTGTCCCAGAGACACTGTTTGCTCTGCAGGATCATCCGCCGCTGCCCAGTCTCCTCCGTGTGTCTCTCAGGATCCTTGGAGCCGCCGCACAGCCTCAAGGGTGCGCTTCTGCCATCTTTTGGTTTGTCTGTTTGCTTGTTTTTTTGTTTTTGTTTTAAATGGTCACACAGCAAATAAAGACCAGAGCTACAATCAAAACTCAGGTCTGTCAGAGTTCAAAACCCATGGCATTCACTATGATGTCCTTCAGCAACAGGAGACACCAGCCAGAGGCTGCTGCTCTATATGAAAGATTTCCTCTTAAAAACTCATTATAAAACAGAAAGGTGTGGGGGGCCCAAAACAGCTTGAACACGCAGCTGCCATGACAGGCTTAGAGGCCCAGACAGCTTCTGTGACAGGCTTACTGGCAGGCAACACCCAGACCCAGGAAAAGCCATAAGCTGACCCCACCCAGGGAGGCCTACATCTAAGGGAAAGTACCTGGTATCCCAAACATTCCAACTATTAGATAAGGTGGCCAGTTGTCCTTGAGTCTAGCACACACCTATTTCTGCTTTACAGATACCCCTAGACAAATGTCAGCCAATCAGGGTCCTGAATCCTGGAAATCCCCTCACCCCAACCTCTGCTATGATGAAAACTCTACCCCACCTGAGCTCAGGGCTCTCTGTGTGGGACAGACAGAGACCAAGCTCAGAGCTTGAAAATAAAGGCTCTTTGCTTTTACATTTGGGATTTGGTCTCTGTGGTGGTCTTTTGGGGGGCCCTGTGATCTGGGCATAACAAAAGGTATCGCCAGGTGGTAGTGGCATATTTTTAATCCCAGCACTCAGAAGGCAGGGACAGGTGGATCTCTGCGTTCAAGGCCAGCTGGGTCTACAGAGAGAGAGAGTTCCAGGACAGCCAGGGAAAACACAGAGGAACACAGGAAAAAAGAAAGGTATCAGTAAGGAAAATTCAAGGTCAAAGCCAGAAGACCTTTCTTGTGTCAACTCTATCCATTCCTACCCTCACGACTTCACATCAGTGTTTCTCTGTTTCACATTGTTATAACACAATCCCTGAAGCTGGATAACTTACAAAGTAAAGAGGTTTATCTGACTTACGATTCCAGTGGCTGAGAGTCTTACAGGCACCTGCATCCTGGCAAAGGCCTTATGCCTGCTCTCCTCATGGAGAAGTGGAAAGGAATCAGTCAGAAGCAGAAGGGGCTAACGGATGGCGTGGCTTTGCTTGGAAACAACCCACTCAAGTCCGTTGCTCCGGGAGATCAGCACTGATTTATTTGAAGGGCAGGAGTTCTTGACCTAATTATCTCGTATTAGGCCCCACCCCTTACAGTTTCCATTGCCCCAGTGCCACCCCCACCCCACCCCCGGACCAAGCTTCCAGTGCATGAACCTGTAGGGATATACATTCAACTGTATACAAACCACGATTTTCCGTCAGGATACGTGTTTTCGTGCCATGGCCAGAGCCCAGGTATTCTGTATAACGTTGTGGTTTAATCTCACATTTGCACTTGAGTGGGGTGCACTTAGGATAGGCCTTATGGCCAAGGTGAAGTGCTACAACAGCTTTAGTGTTTCAGCCTCAGGGTGGCAGGCGAAGAGATCTGAGTGAGGAGACTGGAAGTCTCTGGGAACATAGGGACGTCACAAGGAGCTGATGGGAAGTGCTCTCAGCTTGCAAGTATCTCTGCTACTGCCCCTCCAGGGCTGAGGCCATCTTCCCAGCTGGCTCCCTGCAGGCTCCTGTCTGCTGGCTCTTTAAGCAGCAGCCCTGGCTATCTATCGAGTTCAGCCCAGCCTTTGGAAGGACCCTTCAGTGGCTCCTGCGTCTTCTGGGGATAAAGGCCAAATGACCCTGTGTAATGGTCCCTCCCAGACACCCAGCCTAGTCTCTCAGCATCTCATGCAGTGTTCCTTGCAGTCCCCCCTTAGAGGGCCCAGGACCTTTGAAGAAGCTCCAGGCACCCGCACTTATCACCTTCTCAGACTAACCACACTCCTCCACTTCTTCACACCCTGCTCTGTCGGACTTCAGTATACCTTATCTTAGGCTTCACCATTGCTGGGACGGGCTCTTCTCATGGGCTCCCCAGGCCCACCTCAGAGTTATGGGGTCACAGTAATTATGACAACGTATTGTGATGTCCATGGGTCTTCCAAGCTACTTTGCCACACTGAGACCATGGGCCATGCTTTCTTCCTCTTTGTATTCTCTGCATGCTTTGTGAGCAAGGACTCAGTAAAGATCCTTAGTATGAAGGGAGGAAAGTCAGGGGCAATGCCAGCAAGCACTCTGTGACCCCATTTTGTAAACTTCAGTTCTGTCCAATGACTTAGTATTGGGGACCCTCAAGACAGAGTGATATTCAGACAGCCTAGGAAAATGTGGCACACACAACAAATGAAGGCATCATGTGTCACTGAGCTGAGTTGTGCCCTCTCAAAGCTGCGTCATTAGAAGGGATCCAAGGAATTAAGATCGGAAACTGCAAAGAAAGCATTAACCTTTTAGCCTGAGGAGAGACGTCTCCCAGAGGGAGAGGATACATCTTCGCCCCTTTTCCTTCTGGTCACAGACTGAGATGGCCCAAACACAGATCGAGAAAGAGTGTGTTAGTTCACAGGAAAGGGCACATCTTCACAGCTGCTGATGTGTGTGAGGCTATGCCCCAAGAGGAGAGAGGGGAATTGCTCATCCATAGGAAAAAGCTGGAGCAGCTGTGGAAACTGATCCCCAACACCCAGCACTGGGGACAGAGGACTTAGGACACCAGGCCGGTGAGGGTTCATCAGCTTGTATGCTAGTAGGCATGAGATGGAAGATGATATAATGTCTTCAGAAACATCTAGTTTCCTCAGTAATGCCTTCAGGACCAGTGGGTTCGGCGGGACTCAGCAAAGCCCAGAGCACTGCCCTGAAGGGCACGCTGCCAACACATGCCAGACTACAGGCATGCTATCTATGTCTCCTCCATACCCAGAAAACATTACAAAAGGTGGAAATTGTTGGCAGTGCTCCCAGGTGGGGGGCAGGGAGCAGGACCCTGTGGATCACATCCTTTCCTTACTAGGGAAGCATTGGCTATTGTGGAAACGGTCCCGGGCAATTCTGGACCCCCTCAGCACTACAGTCATTTGGATAGCTTCATGTAGCCCCAAGCTGTCACCAGCTCCATGCTAGACTCTGGAGACAGATGAACAACCAGCTGGAACCTGTCTCAGCATGCAGTGCACGCTGGCATGGGACCCGAACCAGACTCCCAGGAAGAAGATCTCCAGAACCCTGCTGGAGGCATGGACAGTGGGGCACCAGTTTCCAGAAGGTTCTGACTCCTTTAATGCTGGCCTAGAGAAGGCTTGCTCCAGGACAGACAGAAACACTCAGAACTCTTCTGCATGTGCCTGTGTCTGAATATGTCCCAGATAATAAAAGGAAAGTGTCGCCACAGGATCCAAGAGCAGGGACCCGGCCTTGCTGTGGGTGGCCCTGGGTGCTGGGCTTCAGGCAGGGCCACGATGTCGCTTTCCTGCCAGATCTTTCTTTCTGGATGTCCGGGGCTGCTTTGGCCTGCTTCCTTGTCCTCGGCCGGGAGCTTTCGGCACAGGGTACACCTGAGATGTGCTTCGACTGAGTTGGAAGTTAACCTGCAAGGGCGAGGCAGAAGCTGAGTGCCTGTTGGGACTTTCCCCTGTCACACCAGGTTCTAATGGTAGGGTACTCCAGACTCGGCAATTATCTCCCAAAAGAGTGGTACAGAATCAACCACTGATGACATGAAGTGTGTGGCTGGATGGACTAAATATTAGCAAAAAAAATTCTATTCTCACCTCCAATCACGCTTTTGCTTACACCCTGCTTAGGGCAAGAGTGATGAGTGGAGGGGTCTCCATCTCTATTTCCCTCCTAGTGGCTGTGTGAGTCACCGGTACCATGCCCGTACATGCCGAAGAGTGTCTCAACCTCCTGCCGCACCGCTTGGCAACCAGGATCGGAGAGACAACAGACATTGCCTGGCTAGTTCTTTTTTCTTCCTGAGATAGCATGTTACTGTGTAGCCCCAGCTACTTAGAACTTGCTTTGTAGCCCAGGCTGGCCTTGAAATCACAGAGATCCCCCTGCCTCTGTCTCCAGAGTGCTGGGATGAGAAGGTGGGCGCCACCACATCCTCCTGGATTTTTAAACCCAAGATTACATGGTGTGATGGAAGGGCTGTGTACAGCTGTCCTCTAGCCATAGGACACAAATGGGAAGATGCTGTGGACTGGGTGTTCGGGTGTGGGGCACTGGTGTGGGGCACTGGTGTGGCTACAGAGTCATCACCGGCAGCAGAAGAGGAGGGGGTGACACCATGTCCTAACTACACTCCCCAAAATCCCTTCCTGTAACAGTCTCAACTTCTGAAGCAGCAGGGAGTTAAAACCACGCCCTGAGTTTCCTGCCTCTTCCATAAAAATCCATAGCCAGATTTTCTGCTAGTTCTGTAAAAGGGGAGGGGAGTCGGAGCCAACTGTATGAGACCATTTCCTACTTTCCCTTTAGTAAACACACAAACCCAGGAAAGGAAGAGAGGAGACCTCAGGCAACAGGGGAGGAAAGGCAGAGGAAAGAGAAAGGCCCCAGCGTCTGCAGGGAGGTGGGGACAGCCGGGAAGTCTGGGCCCTGGGAGAGGTTTTAATCCTCTTAATTGTAAGATGAAAACCCTTGAGGAAACATCTTTTTTCTTTCCTCGGGAAAGTGGCTAACAGCTCTAAAATTAAAATGGAAGCCAAGCAGAGGGCAGTGCAATCAGTGAACAGACTGGTGGCTGCTACTGCCTCTGAATATCACATCCAAATGACAGACTGTGCCTCCGGGTTATACTTGACACAATGGATGGGTATGCTAGTTTATTTAAAGGATATGGTGGGGGGGGGGCAGGCGAACTACTTCAAAACAGGCGTAACTCAGGCTGTGGAGCTGTTTACATTTGGCAGTGAACAGGCTTGCCTACAGCACATGGTTTATGTATGTGGCTGCTGCTGGGCATTTGATTTTAGGGTGAAATGGGGAAGAAAGGGGATGGCTGGCTGGGAAACAGGGTTCTGCGTGATGGGGGGCTGTCTTCTCTTCCTGTCTGTCAGTATAAAGCATGTGCCATACAAGTGTGAAGATCCGAGTTTGAATCCCCACAAGCCACTTAAAGCAAGACACAACAGTGTGTGTGTTTCTGTCGTCCCAGTGACTCTGCAGCAAGATTGAAGGTAGAGATGGAGCATCCCTGGCAGCTCCCAGGCTAGCCAGTCTGGAGCACACACACTGTGCAGCAGACAACAGAGAGACCGGCCTCAAATAAGGTGGCAGGCAAGGACCGACACTTGAGATTGTCCTCAGACCTCCACACAAGTGCCATCATGACACGTCCATGCCCTATCCTCCCAACACATGCTCACACATTCATACACACACACACACACACACACACACACACACACACACACACAGACAGAGAGAGACAGAGAGACAGAGAGACAGAGACACAGAGACAGAGAGACAGAGAGACAAAGTATGTAGGAGGTGTTTGAGGGGGTGATGATCTGTAAGTTTCAGAGGAATTTTTAAAAGACCTGAAGCTCTCTTTGCTCTGTTGACTTACAGGGTTCTGCACACAGGCAGGGAGCACAGTGTGAGTCCCCGCGACACATTAGGAGGTGAATCCCAGCCCCACCATCCACCCACTGTGTGATACTGAACAGTTACTTACAGGTAGTTGTGAAGGTTAAAATGGGTAATTGTGGGAAGCTCTCCTACAGTATCTGATGCCCAGCAGCTACTCAAAAGGTACTGAGGACAGCATTCAAAAATAGGAGCTGCTTGAGAGCATGGAGGGCTGACAGCTGTGGTCCCTTTATGCTCTGAGGTTCTGACATAACATGATTTACAGTGAAAAGTTCCAGGCTGTAAGTCAATGGTTCTTCGCTTCTCGTCCTCTCTATAAAGGAGAGCTGTAGAGAGTTGAGCATCGGAGGGGGCTGGTCCTCGGTGGTGGCCGCAATGGGAAGTGAGCCTGAGACCACAGGGCACAGACGGCTTGCAGATCGCCACCTAGCGGTGGTCACTGTTCATGGTCTTGAAGAATGCAACCAGGGCAGCCTGGGGAATCGGCAAGGCCCCAGAGCTTACAAACTAGCCTTGTTGTGCACCTCTGTGGACCTGTGCTTTGTCTTTGCAATCCGTGAGAAGAAAGTGTTAGCACTAATGTACAAAGGAAGAAGCAGGATGAGAGAAACAGGCTGTGTCAAAGAGACGAATCAGGAAAGGTCAAGGGGAACCCAGCAACGGGGCTGTTCAAGACACTGCATGACATTTACAGAGCAGCTAAGGCTCAGCCAGACTCACCAGTGTTGGTTCTGCAGGCCCCACGGTCACAATCACTGTTTTTGGGTCATACCCTGGTGCCTTGGCGGTGACAGTGTAAGTTCCCGGAAGCAGCAGACGGAAGTAATCCCCGTGTTCACCTAGACGTCAGAAGGATGTAACTCAGCCAGCTGACTTCAAACCTACTTCATACAGAACCTGGCTATGAAAGTGATCTGGGGGTTTGAGCTGACCACAAGCCTGTTTTTGGTTTTGGTTTTTGTTTTTTTCTCCCTCACAGCATGACAAAACCCATAAACAGCTAAACCACTCAGAAGTAAGATCCTCCACAGGGGTCACTCCTGGGAAGGTTTCATTGTGCCTCAAACTACAGTCTGTTCCAGATCCCGGGTCTAAAACAGACTCGTGTCTAGTAAAAAATCGCTATGGAAGAGAAAAAGTGAACATGTCTGTTACTATTTTGCCTGCTAAGAAAACTTTGAGCCCTCTGATACTTGAAAAGCCTTTGCAAAGAAACAACTTCTGTTTGAAGAAATAGTATCCCAAGTCTAAAGTTATATGGAGGCAGACTTCAGAGAGAAGCAGAAACTACCGTGGTAAAGAGCTGTCAAAGAAAGAAATGGACTGCGTGTAGAACTGTGGGTACTCAGGAAGCTGAATGGAGTCCCTGGACAAGCTATCTAGCCGAGCAGTGCGCACTCTGTACTAACAATCCTGGAGATCCGGGTTGGACAACCAACACCCGGGAATGTTACACATGTGAGAATCAGACTAAATGATCACTAACGGTCTGGCTTGAAAATCTTGCTTTTCTCTTCTCCCCCCACCTCCTCTCTGTTTTGAGACAACAGGGTCTCATGTGACCCAAGCTAGCATCGAAGTCACTATGCAATCTGGCCTCGAACTCATGATCTTCCTACCTCAGCCTTCCGAGTGTTGGCATTACAGGGGTGTGCCACCATGCTGGCCAGAGAATATTATTTTTAATATATTTTTTAAAAGACAGGGTCTTAGCTGGGCGGTGGTGGCGCATGCCTGTAATCCCAGCACTCGGGAGGCAGAGGCAGGCAGATCTCTGTGAGTTCGAGGCCAGCCTGGTCTACAGAGCTAGTCTAGGACAGGCTCCAAAGCTACAGAGAAACCCTGTCTCGAAAAACCAAAAAAAAAAAAAAAAAAAAAAAAAGACAGGGTCTTATATGGCCCCAAACTTGCTATATTACCTAAGGATGGCCTCAAATGTATGATCTTTCTGCCTCAACCTCCCCAGTTTAGGGACTACAGGTGTGCATTACCATGCCTGATTTGTGTGTTGCTGGATCTCATGCATTCCAGTCTGGTCTCAACTTCGCAATGTAGCCAAGGATGACCTTGAGTGCTCCCGAATGCTAGGATTACAGGTGTGTGCCCCCGTGCCTAGCTCATTCAGTGCTGGGATTGGACCCAGAGCTTCTTGCACGTTAGGCAAGTATTTTACCAAGCTACACCCCAGCCCTGTAATTTACTTTAAAATACTTTAGCAATGCAGCGTGTTATTATGCACATATTGGACAGTTTAGGTTATATCCTGAAACTGTTATTATCTTAACTGGGCGCTCACACTCAGGGGTGATTAGCAATTGTGTTACAAAAGCTCCATTCTAGATGTTTCTTCAAAGAGGCTATCTTCACCTGTAACCAACAACAGGTGCCCTGCCAGGCAGTCCATCAATGTTGCTAAGGAGAGGAGTGACATCTATTTCACATAATGGATATTGAACACGGGGCCTATTCACGGTATCTGTTCTTAGGGGCTCTGACGTTTTAGAGACCTTCCCATCCTTGCTTAAATGGGTGAGAACCAAGCCCAGAAGCATGTGCTCTTGGGGAAGGTGCTGAGGTCCGAGCTCTGCATGGTCCCATGTGCAGCCACTGGGCTGGAAGGTTCCTGATTGTCGGTCAGACGGAGGTGACACAATTCTTTTAGAACATTGGCTTTTCCTTAAACAAGCCTGCCACTGAAGAGGCTCTGAGACCACCTTCAGGGACACGAAGCACAGATTTCATCCAGCCTGGACAGACAGCCATGAGCTATGAGATGCCCACTGGGTAGCAAACAAGGTTGTTTTGGGAAGTGAGTAGCTACGACATCCGTGAAAAGCCAACACATAGAAACTCCTACGAGTGGTGAGCAGTTGACTGGGGGGAGGGGGGGGACTTTGCAACACTGCTCTTCCATGAGATGACTCTGTTACCTGTTGGTGTTCACTGTCCCTTGACAGAGTCTAGAATCACCCAGAATGGGCTTCTGCATGCCTGTGAGGAATTACCTTGACTGTGTTGAATGGGGTGATACTGCTCACCCACTGTGGGCGGCACCACTCCCTGGCTGGGATCCTGGACTGTGCGAGTGAAGAAAAGAAGCTGAGTCCTAGCGTGTACACACTCATCAATCTGTTTCATGATTATTGATGTGGGTTGGCCAGATGCTCCAAGCTCCTGCCACCTCGACCCCTGACTATGATGGACTAGACCCTGGAAGTATGAGCCAGAACAAGCCCTTTCTCCCATAAGTTGCTTTTTATTTTCAGAGTACTTTATCAAAGCAAAAGCAAAAGAAACCAAGACAGTACCCTTCCAGCAGATTCTAGGTAATTCCAAGATTATCCTCTACTGCTGACCTTGCCTCAAATCAAGTCTATAGGAGGAATCTTGTTGTGGAATATTATTTTAAGGTGTTACATTTGTTTATGCTGTGGAACATTTGCTTTAATGATGCAAAGATGTGTTGCATTCTTTATGTTGCATTTGTTTAACTCTGTGAAGCTGTGTTACTGTGCCTGTCTAAAACACCTGATTGGTCTAATAAAGAGCTGAATGGCCAATAGCAAGGCAGGAGAGAGAAACAGATGGGGCTGGCAGGCAGAGAGAATAAATAGAATAAGAAGAACATTAGAGGAAGGAGGAGCAAGAAGAGAGATCAAGTAGCAAAAGAAGGAGGAGGATGCAAGGGGCCAGCCACCCAGCTACACAACCAGCAATGGAGAAAGAAAAGAAAGAAAGAAAGAAAGAAAGAAAGAAAGAAAGAAAGAAAGAAAGAAAGAAAGAAAGAAAGAAAGAAAGAAAATACAAAAAGGTGAAAGCCCAGAGGCAAAAGGTAGAAGGGCTAACTTAGGTTAAGAAAAGCTGGCAAGAAACAAGCCAAGCTAAGGCCAGACATTTATAAGTAAGAATGTATTCATTTGGGAGCTGGATAGTGCCACCGCCAAAAGAGGCAAAGAGTAAAACAACCAACTACACAATCTATCAGCTTTTCCTGAATGGACACGTGGGAAATGCCTGATACAGAGGGGAGACTAAACATGAGTGTTACTGTCCTTCTCGGTCCTATTCCATGCCATCATTATTAATTAATATCGCCAAGCCCAGAAACACTCCCAGTAAGACTATCTCCACAGTGGTACCTGGGCTCTGAGTAGGAGCTCCATCTGCATCAATGCTCCCTGCTCTCAGAGCCTGCTCACTCCAGAAGTGAAAGAATTTCCTCATCAACATCTGGCTGCTTGATGCCATGCTTCCTTTTTTGCTCCCATATCCGACACCCTTTCTTCCTCCAGTTCCTCACCCACAGCATCCTTGATGGCTGGTCGCTCTGGCTTACAAATGGTCCCCAGTTCTACTGAAGGCGACAAGGAGCAGAAACTCCCTTCCTGCCTACCTGAAGTGACATCGTGATTGATCCCAGTGACAGAAATGACAGCCCCTGTGAGGTTGTTAGAGTTCTCATCAAGCACCATTCCCTTGATGCCCTGGTGAACCTGCAGGAGACAGTGGCCGACAGCAAGTTAGAATCACAGAACAGCTGTGCAGTGGGAGAGCTCTGGCCTTTCTCATGGGTCGGCACAGTCCGCCTTCACTAACACCATGGCAGCAGCCTGCAAAGCTGTACTTCCCCGCTCTCCCAAACCCCAATTCCCTTCTCAGTAGATGGGGTGACCCTGCTAGAGACTCAGTCAAATCATACTGCCTTTCTTCTCAAAGCCCAACTCAGCAAGGCCTTAGGCTCCTGGGCTGGTCTGTAAGGCCTCAGTCCCCCAAAGCAGCCCAGGCTCATGACAGCTACCCTCTGCCTGGTTCCAAAGATCTGCTTCCATTCCAGCCGCGCTGCTCATCTCATCTTCTTAAAACTCTTACTAATTTTATGTGTTTGGGTATTTTACCTGCATGTGTGTCTGCACACCATGTGCATGCCTGGTGTGAGCCACCATGAGGGTGTTGGAGTCAAACCCAGGTCTTCTGAAAGAGCAGTCAGTACTCTCAACTGCCAAGCCATCTCTCCAGTTCCTCATGACCTAATCTTGAATTTTGCTTAAATTAAAGAACTTTAAGTTGTGATAAAGCTGTCGAGATGGTCTAGTGGATAAAGGTGTGTGCTGCCGAGCCCGGCAACTGAGTCTGACCCCGGGACCCAAACGGTGGAAGGAGAGACAATTGTCTTCTGTCCTACAAATTGTCTTCTGATCTCCAAACAAACACCACGGCATGGATGCACCTATACCTACACACACACACACACACACACACACACACACACACACACACACACACACACACTCTTTAAATTGTGATAAAATACTCATACTGTAAGTTGTACAGTCCAGTTTATCAGATACATTTGTAACGTGTGCCCAGCATAATGACTCATTTCTAGAACTCTCTTCATCCGATGACACTGAAACTGCTCTCCTTAAGTAGTAACTCCCCATCACTCACTTCTGGGTTTTGAAAACCCACCAATCCCTGGGCTTGCTCCAAGCTCAGGACTTGAGATCCCACCAATCCCCACCCTGGAAATCTCCACCCCCAAGAAACCCTGTACAAGTTTGCCTTTCAGTTCCCTGCTGCTTCTCGCCTGAGCAGAGGTGGCCACCCTCTTGGATCTTTCCCAATAAATCTCTTCTGTGAGGTGTGACTTGGTGGTATTCCTTGGCTCCCAAATGCCAGGAGACCTTTCCCCTCAGAGCTGCAACACTTGCACCCCCCACTTTCTACCCCACCTTCTGCTCCTGCAGCCCCAGCCGTCATCCTGCATTCTGTCTCTATGATTTTAAGAACTCTATCTAAACAAATGGAGTCACATAATATAGGTCTGTTTGTAACTGGCTTATTTCACTTAGCATAATGTCCTCAAGGTCCATCCGTGTCAGAGGGTACTTTGTTTTGAAGGCTGAATAATATTCCTTCCTTCCTTCCTTCCTGTCTGTCTGACTCCACTTCTTTGGAACAGAACAGTGCTGAGCAATATGATAATTTTCTTTTAATTGTTTCTTTTGCAGATTTGGAGACCCACGTTTGAGTCTCTCTCATGCCAAGCAAGTACTTTATCATCAAGCTAAACTTCAGGCTGATTTTTAATTTTTTGGAAGTGCTGTCCCATTGTTTCCCACTGCTGTGGGATGGTCTGTATGTCAAATGTGTTGCTGATTGGTCAATAAATAAATCACTGATTGGTCAGTGGCCAGGCAGGAAGTATAGGCGGGACTAACAGAGAAGAGAATTGAGAGAACAGGAAGCTGGGTGAGAGAGACACTGCCAGCCGCCATCAGGACAAGGAAGATGTAAAGTACCGGTAAGCCATGAGCCATGTGGCAAGGTATAGATTAATAGAAATGGATTAATTTAAGCTGTAAGAACAGTTAGCAAGAAGCCTGCCACGGCCATATAGTTTGTAACCAATATAAGTCTCTGTGTTTACTTGGTTGGGTCTGACGGCTGTGGGACTGGCAGGTGAGAGAGATTTGTCCTGACTGTGGGCCAGGCAGGAAAACTCTAGCTACATCCCACAGAAATGATACCACTTCTCATTCCCAGCAACAGAGCTCACGGAGTCCAGTTTCCCCCCTCCTCCTAAGCCTGATCATTCCTGTTTTTGGCAGAAGCCGCTCCAGTGCATGTGAGCGGCAGCTCCTTGGGGGTGGTGATGCGGGGCATGCTTTCAAATGGGCAGCTTGGCTTTTTTTCATATATCTATTTTGGAGGGCCCTGCCCCTGCTCTAGACACCTGGCGCCCCTGCTCTAGACACCTGGCCCGACTGCGCCCCTCTGATCTTTGGACTCCTTGTTTAAGAATCACTGTCACCATAAGGCTTTTTTCACAGCATTTCTCTTTTTAACACTTTACAGAGTTTACTTTCTTATTTTGTTTATTGTCTGTCCTGGTTAGAATGGCAGTTCTATAGAGACAGAGATATGCTTGTTTACCCAGAGTCCTCAGCTTATAGTTAAGTGTTTGACAGACAGTGATGCTCCAGGACACTGTAGGGAAAAAAAAAAATCCCACGAGTAGAGCATTTGTTGCACTGAGTCAGAGCCAGGGCCAGGCCTGAGTCCACGGGAACCCCAGCCACCACCGGAAGCTCCTCTCCTGCGCCTTACCTGTTCCAGGAACTGGATCAAGGCTTCCCGGTTACCCAGCCACTCCCGCTGCAGCTCCTCTTGAGGGGGAAACTTGTTGCAACTCAGCTCCAGTGTGATCTCAAAGCAGTTGGTGTGGAGATAATTGAAGTCTTGCATTCCTAGGGAAAGAGGCAGCAGCAGGTCTTCCGGTTGGGCACCCACCATCACCCCATCCCATCTTTCTCTTTATCACAATTTCTCCACTACAACCTCATCACCTTCTCTTCTACCTCCTGACATCTGTTAACTTTTATCTACACGCGGCTGTCCCCTAGTCTCAGGTGTGTCCCTTTCTCTCTTTGTGCTCATATCATCACCTGCATCCTTTATGTTCTGCTGCAAGCTGCAGGAAAATGTAACGGAATTCAGCTACTATCACAAAAGCTACTACCAGGAAAGGTCAAGGACTTTTCTGAAGGTCAAGCCATGGCTTAAGAGGTCTGGGTGGTATTTTATGTATCATATATATATATATATATATATATATATATATATATATATATATATATATATATATATGATTCCTGCAATGATTTCCTTTAGGCTATGCATGCTTCCAAGAACTCATAACAGTGTATTTTATCTGAAATACCTATCAAGCATCCAAGGCCAAACGATCTCCTGAATTAAGGCAAATTAAGCTCAGACCCTCCTTTCTTATACAGCCTTAGTAGTATTTGTACTAACATTTACCTAACCACTTCTAGGACTGTAGTTCGAGCACAAAATTCCCTTTTTCTGATATATTAACTGATTTTAGCTCTTAGTTGACCTCCTCCTTTACCACTCCCCTTTTGGGTTGTAAAAGAAAGCCTGACGGTCACTGCCCGAGGAAGACTCTTATCTTACCCTGTAAGAACTCAAGCCTGGTGACCTTGCTTTAGCTAGAGCACTGCTATTGCATGGGTATATAACTGTAAACCTCAGACTGAGAGAGGATTTTGAGGATTTTGACTGGACAACTAGATGGAGAACTAGAAGAATGAGATGGAAGATGAGGAAGAGCCAGATGAAGAAGAATGAGATGACAAAGACCAAGATGGGGCAGAACTACGATGATAGAATTAAGATAGAACCTAGAGGGGACAGCAGATAAAGGTAGAGAGAAATCAGGCAAGAGAGGAGCTAGGCATGAGAACAGAACTGAAGCTGTATAGACAGGATTTTATCCCAGAGGAATAAAGTAGACAGACAAAGAACTCGTTGTACTTAGATTCTTTTTATTCGAGCTGTTCGTAGCTTCTCTTCTGGGCCCCTGGGAAGAAGATTATTACGGCTGGACCATAATGATTTTCGAAAATGTTTCTTCCATTTCATGATTTGGTTCCCCTTCCGTGTGTGTGTGTGTGTGTGTGTGTGTGTGTGTGTGTGTGTGTGTGTGTGTGTGGCTTGAGGAAGGTATTGGATGTCCTGTTCTGTCACTCTCTGCCTTACTCCCTTGAGAGAATGTCTTCCTCTGAACCCAGAGCAAGCTCTCTACCAGCAAGCACAATAACACTCCTGTCTTCTCTCTCCAAGTCCCAAGGTGATGGGGATTTGAACCTGGGTCCTCACGTTTGTGCAGCAAAGGCTGGTGCTCACTGAGCCACCTCTACGGCCCCTGATTTCTCCTGTCCCTCTTACTCCTGTCTCCCACTGAGTGTGCCCAGGTGCTGCTTTCAGGAGAATGGCATTTCCTTTTGAGCTGTGGTGTTCTGCAGACCCAAGAGGCAAGAGGAGATGGACGTTTGCTTCATGTCTCCCACAACCATAACCAGATACACAACTGTAATCTGAAAAGTGGACTCATGGAAAAGTGGCAGACATCTGTATTTTATCTTTTTTTCTCTATCATATATGGCATCTTCTGAGTGTTAAAAGTTTTACTTAGTAGATTGGATCAATTGTTTCAGTATTTTTTGATTATTAGAATGATATTTATATTGTACATTCATTTGGATTAAAATTCATCAGTTCAAAGATGTCTATTCTACCAAGAGTGACCAACCAATTCACTGTAACTTCTGAGCATTTTTTACACCTGACATATACTCTTAAATTTACATATGAAGTGTCCTGACTCAATCTGTTGTCTGTTCAGATGCTTCTCAAGGTCTTCTACCCTCAACAGCCATATCTGCTTGGCAGCATATCTGGGATTTCTGTGACCCTGACCATGGTCCAGATGTATTAACCAAAATAATTACTAACTAACTGAAGAATAGAAGTAAAAAATAATTGTCATGTTATACCTGAAGTAACTATGTTCTGCCAAAAGCAGATGTTGCAAGGTTACTCTGTCCCTCATCCAACACTGATGCAATTCTAAGTTTTGTCTTTGAAAATGCTGTACACCATTGGGGCTTTGGCACCAAGAGACATCAGGCACGAACCGGCTCTTGGTCACCAGTCAAGATGAAAGGTTTCTTATTCTCTTAATTGACTTAATCAGTGTGGCTGCCCGTATCTTTCTCACATGGAATTATTACACATATAATCTTAAAATGATATGAAATCACAAAGGACCCACCTCCCCAAAAGCCAAAATAACTGTGGGGGAGAAAAAAGAATAAAGCTGGAGACCTCACCTCACTTCTGAGGTGATTGGGGTGATTTTGATTGAATTACACCAATCGAAACACTAAGTAAAAATAAAGTTAGATCCATGTATAATGCCACACAGAGAGATGGTCATGGTGGTTTATACCTGTAATCCCAGCACTCAGGAGGCTGGAAGATGAGGCAGGGGATCATAAGTTCCAGGTCAGCCTGGGCTACACAGCAAGACTCAAGTATAAAAAAATAAATAAGTGTCCAGCATGGTGATACATCCCTTTAATCTCAACACCTGGGAGGCAGAGGCAGGAGGATCTCTGTGGGTTTAAGGCCAGCCTGGTCTACAGAGCAAGTTCCAGGCCAGCCAGGGCCACATAATGAAGTTTTATCTCAAATGAATAAATGAAAGTCTTATCTCATAAATGAATGAAAGAATGGGTGAATAAACAAAGACTTCAATAGTTGCTGGTCTAAAGAAGATGTACAAATGGCTGGTAGGCACATGAAAAAGATATTCAACATCATTAATCTTTAGAGAAATGTAAATCAAGCTTCTGTATGATGCCAGCTTGCACCCACGAGCTGACTATTACAGAAAGAGGAATACAGACAGAAAATAATGAGTGCTAATAAAGGTGTTGAGAAATTGGAGCCAGTGTGCTGTTGATAAGACTATAAAATGGTACAGCTAACACAGGAGAGAATTACCACCTAATCCAACAATTCCAGCCCTAGAGATGGATCCAAGGGCACTGAAATCAAGATCTCGAAGAGATGTTTTTATAGCCATGCTCATAGCAGCTTATTCTCAGTAATCAGAAGGTAGACAGAACCCATGTTCCATTGATGGACAGTGTACAAACAAAAGGTGGTGGATGAATGTATTGGGATTCTGCCTTCCGAAGGCAATACCTTGATGAGGTGTGAGAATGCCACATTAAGTGCAATAAACGAGCCCAGACTCAAAAGACAAACACTGCATGATTCCAATATGAAATATCCAGAGTAGTCAAAATCATAGAGAAGTATGGCACTGGGGCAGGATGGGAAGAGTCTAGAGACAGGGCTGGTGCTAACGGCACAGTTAAAAGTGTGATCAACAAGCCTGATGTGGTGGTGCATGCCTATAATCTCTGTCCTCCAGAGCCAGAGACGGGAGGGCTTGATATGAGTTCAAGGCTAGCTGGACCATAGAATGAATGCTAGGCTAGCCAGGGCTACACAAAGAGAGACTCTGTCTCAAAAGACCAAAGTGGGGAAAGAAGCATGTATTTGTCATTGAATACCTCCATACCTGCATTGGGTCATATTTGCTCACTTTTGTATACACCCACCCACCACACAATACATGAATAAGTAATTTTAAAGGGTTACGATGGAGCTGGGTGGGTGGGATGCTCCTGTAGTCCCAGTTCCTGAGGGGGATGAGGTAGGAGAATCCCTTGAGCCCATGAGTTCAAGATCAGCCTAGACAACAGTGAGAACTAACCACAAGGAAAAGGATGGTAAGTTCTGTAGTACGTGTATTTTGTCACAATAAAAACTGAAAAGTAAGTATCCACTTCGTTAACTCCCACTTGTTCTTTGGGCTGATGAGAACAAGCTATTATAAAATGAAAGCAGAGGGCTGGAGAGATGGCTCAATGGTTGAGAGCATTGGCTGCTCCTCCAGAGGACCCAGGTTAGACTTCCAGCACCCACATGGTGGCTCACAACCATCTGTAACTCCAGTTCTAGGGGATCCAAAACCTTCTAGCCTCCTCAGGCATCAGACTCTTAAGGGTGCACAGACATACACGCAAGCAAAACACATGTACACATAAAATAAGAAAGAACGGAGGAAGTTGGAGACTGGTGGTCGGTCAGTTTTGGTTGTCAGCTCTGCTGGACCTGGATTCCACTAAGAGATACGCTGCTGGGAATATCTATGGGGGTCTTCTAGTCATCTGAAGTGGGAAGGCCCACCCTAAATATATAGGTGACATCCTCTGGCAGAAATCCAGAAAAAGGTGGTTCAAGGGAAAGCTTTGCATGTGGCCTGCTTGCCTTTGCGTCTTGCTGGTGAGCTCATCTACCCTGTTCTTAAGTTCATGTACTCTGTGGCTGCCATCCACCCCCGACACTGGAACCCAGCTTCGTTGGTCTTACAACATGGCCTAAAGACCATCCGCTCTTTAGGAACCCTCTAGGCCTTCAGCACCAGACTGGGGGTGCAAAGGGACCTAGCTTTGTGAGCTGAGCAGGTTCCAGGGCCTCGAATCTTCAGTGTGAAGACAGCCACTGTTGGATTACCCAGACTCTATCCTATAAGTGATTCTAATAAACTCCCCTTTTAACATACGTTCATTCTATGGATTATGTTCCTGTAGAGAACCCTGACTAATCCAGAGACCAATAACCATAACTCCATAAATGTTTTCCTCCCATGCACTAGAGTCCCCGGGAAGCCTGGGCCATTCAACTAAACACAGATAACTCTGGGCCTTACTCCCAGAGCTTCTGACTCAGGCAAAGGGTCTAACTTGCCAAGGGGTACTGTTGGTGCAGGGTCAGAGACCACGCACTAAGACAATCATTGTGACTGACTAATTAATCAAGTTATTCTTGGGATTGTGCCAGTTTGCTTTAGAGTGGAGATTTCTGAGCGGGCATGGGCCATGCTTTCTCAGAGGACAGGGAAGGTGGAGGAGAGAAAAAAAAAAAAAACAAGGACAATTTGAAAACACGTGTCTAACGATTCCAATTTGTGGGGTGGGGAGGCTGGTTTCCTAATACAAAGTTAAAGAAATTAGAATCTTACTGAATCTTCCTGCTTGTGTTCAAGTGGGTTTGGGGCCACAAGTCTTAACTTCTCAGTACACGGTGACACCATGGCTTTTCTCCCCTCCCCTCTCCCCAGGACCAAACATCAGCTCAACCCTTATCAATACTGGTGGTGAGAGTATGGGAAAAGATGGATGTGAACAGCTCCGGAGTGAACCCGGCCCCCTGCTCTAGCCTCTTCCCTGTCTTACAGAGGAAGGTTCACAGCACACATTTATCCTAAGCCTGTCCCAGGCAAGGTGCAGGGAAGGGTTGGAGACAGGGCTGGGCGGGGTGGGGGAATGGGGCAGGGTGCACCTGCTGCTAGAGTTCCCCGACCTTTGGTTATGAAAGGCCAATGCCCACGCAGGTTCCTGCTGTGGGGAGTTGGTAGCCCTAGTAGAGAGAGGCCAGCCCCTCTGCTCACCTGCTGCTGTCTGAAGCCTACCTCTGTGCTGCTTTTGAAAACAGAGCATTTAGGAGCCAGGCGTTTCAAGTGCTTTACTTAGAGCATCAAATCCATGAGTTGAGTGTGTTACCTGGCTTTAGCTAGAGATGGGAAAACCAAAGCGCAGAGGGGCCATGGGACTAGCCTGAAGCCACCTAGCTGGTACACAAGCAAGATGAACTCCAAGCTGATTGAATCTCAGAGACCACACCCTTCACCACTAGGTCTCGTTACTTTCTTCCTATGCCCCAGCAGATCAGGGCACAACACACTAGTTTTACAAGACCACACATGATCCCCCACCCGCCTTGGTCTTTTAGGATCACAAATAGGCTATTAAATGTCAGCTTGGGAGTTCTCCATTTCTCCATTTCCCCCGTGAGGTGCAAAATTCTATAGTATTCCCTGTGAGTCCCTGAGAAGGAGAAAAAACGGCCGTTCCCAGGACTCCGCTTACCCTTGCTGAGAGAGTACCAGGATGCCCCGTTGGTGATACCATCTGGGAAGTAATCGCCACAGTTCCAACCTTGGTGCATCCATCCGTGTGCATAGGAGTAGACCTTGGCCAGCTGGAGGAAAGACAGGAAATGACTGAGAGCAATCCCATCTCACACAGTGGCAGCTCAGACTCCGAACTAGGGGACGCCAAGGGGCAACGTGATACGCAGAGTGCATTATATGCTTCAGTGCAAGGAAGTGTGACCAGAGATAAAGGAGGAGGTGATGAGGTGGTGGTGGTGATAGTTTGTGTGTGTGTGTGTGTGTGTGTGTGTGTGTGCATGCGTTTATGTAAGCGAGCACGCACAATTCGGACTGCAGTTAGGAATTCTGGATTCACTCTTTTTTTTTTTTTTTTTTTTGGTTTTTCAAGACAGGATTTCTCTGTATAGTTTTGGTGCCTTTCCTGGATCTCACTCTGTAGCCCAGGCTGGCCTCGAACTCACAGAGATCCACCTGGCTCTGCCTTCCAAGTGCTGGGATTAAAGGCGTGCGCCACCACCAACTGGCCCCTGGAGTCACTCTTGACCTCCTTCTCTCTGCTGGGTTTTTAAAGACAGAGTCTCACTCTGTTGTCCAGGCTGGCTTTGAACTTAAACCTGCCTCAGCATCCCAGATGTTGTATTGCTATAGGAGCCCTATATTCTGGTGTTTCCACTTTCTCGGGGATAAGTCTGTCACGTGCAAAGAAATGGATGACAACAGATCACACAGAAGGTCTTTTTCAGTTAGGCCATTTTCTAGCTGACTTTAATGAAAGAAATCAAAGAATGAATAAAATAGAAAACGTATATTTTGACAGATGAAAGATACGTGTTGGGAAGAGAGGCACATGCTTAGACTCTATGATCCCCATTATTCTTTAATAATTTTTTGCGGTTTTTTTTTTTTTTGAGACATCTGTTGCACGAATCCTAAATATCCTTATAATAAAACCCGGAGCCAGATAGTGGGGTAAATGCTGAAGGATCAGAGGAAACAAGGCACAGCCACTTCTCACCTCGCCAACTCCTCAGCCGAAAAGAGAAGATCCTGTCTCCACAAATCCTCTGACTGAATGCCTCTGAGTCCTCAGCGGAAAGGCTCTCTAGCTCCTGTCTCCTCACGCCTTATATGCCTTTCTCCGCCCAGCCATTTTACTTCCTATCACAACCTTCCTAGTGCTGGGATTAATGGTGTATGTGTTTCCCAAGTACTGGGGTTAAAGGTGTGTGCCACCCTGCCTGGCCTCTGTGTTTAACTCTGTGACTGGCTCTGTCCTCTGATCTTCAGGCAAGCTTTATTAGAGTACAACAAAATATCACCACAACATCTTTCCTTGGCTGGCCTGGAAATGGCTCTATAGACCAGGCTGGCCTCAAACTCACAGAGATCCACCTGCCTCTGCCTTCTAAGTACTGGAATTAAAATACTTAGACCACCACCATGCCTGGTCATTATTTTTTTTTATAGTAGTAGACAAAATGTTATTACTGGAGAAAAATAAATTAATTTACTGCCTTTCCAAAGTAAATTGGGGTCCTTCTCTGTAACTCATTGATAAATTATAATAAATATTACTAATGTTTTATTATCTACAGATATATTCATATTTTGTAATTTCGTTAATAAATTTTATTACAAAAGATTATGAACTTACAAAATACATATTATGAATATATAACTCTCTATATTCATCTTTTTAAAAAAGATTTATATGTGTGTGTCTGTGTGTCTGTTGCGTGTGTGTGTGTGTGTGTGTGTGTGTGTGTGTGCGCGTGTGTGTGTGTGTGTGTGTGTGTGTGAGTGCAGTTGCCCTTGGAGCCCAGAGGCGTCAGATCCCCTGGAAGTGGTTTTGAGCTAACAAACATGGATGCTGGGAACAGAACCGGGGTCCTCTACAAAAGTAGCAAGAACTCTCAGCTGCGGACCCATCTCCCCAGCCCCTGTTCTACTGTTTTATATTACTATTTAAATCTTAATTTGCATGGCTCATTTTTCATTAAGATAGACCTATTATCATAAAAGTGTAAGTTAGGTTTTCTCAGAATTCACATTTCATTCCACTAACTCTTAGCTTAAGTGTCCTTTACATCATAGCAATTATAAAATGTCTTCCTTTCGATTTCGTCATGCCTGGACTTATGGCCTGTCATCTGAAATAAAATGTGACTTACTAGACAGCCTCTCCCAAGCAGACCCTGTTTCCTGTAACTGTCTGTGGACCTGTGTATCTCTGACATGAATCTCCTCTCCTGAGCCCAAGTTCCCCTGCTGGGATGAGCTGCCGTTCTGCATACCGTCTGGAAGAGCTGGTCATCTGGTGTGGGGGAACTGGAGGTGCGATGGTGAGGACTTCGGAACCGATGCTCCAGTGACTTGTCATACGGGTAATTGGCCACCACAGCCCCGCCATGCAGATTGGCTGAGAGAACGAAGTTTAAGGAGCGAATCCACTGGATCACCACCCGGGTCTCGGGTTCCACCTGTGAAGACATGAGAAGTTGGCAGCCAAGGTGTGGCTGAGCTGCCACAGGGTTCCTCAGAGAATCCTGTCAGGAAGGAGCCTGCAGGAATTGTGAATCCCACTCCCTCCACCTCAGATATGAGAACTGGAGCTGGGAAACTTTGACCTTGGTGGTAACGATTTCAAAATTAAGTATATGGGACCCCTTCCCAAAGTGAAATATGTGGATTATAATGCACAGAATAGGTGGAAAGAGAGCCTCCAGGTTAGGAAGACTCTTCAGTCCATGTGACAGTGATGGACACTTTCAGCATGTGCACCCACACCCACAGAACACCAAGGGTAATCTCTAGTGGGACTAGAGAGTTTAGATCCTGAGTGTTGGGTCAGGTCAATATAGGCGCATTGATTGCAATTAATGCACCACTCTGGAATACGATGTTGAAGGTGGGGTCAGTGTGGTAACAGGAAGTGTTGAGAACTCTATATTTTTTTACTTAATTTTGGGAGAGAAGAGAGGGAGCAGGAAAGGGCAAAGGGAGGGAGAAGGGATGGGGGAGAAGGAGAACAAGAGAGCAGAAGGTTTCCCAGTTTATCCAGTGTAGCAAGGGCGGGGCTTCTAAGACATCTTTGCAAAAATCTAGGGTTCTAATAATAGAAACCACTTGCTTGAAGTAATGATTTCGGCCTCCTCTTCCCAACACATCTGCTGTACCATTTTAATGACACTCTGATCATATCTACGTTTCATGGATTAGACACACTAATTTCTACTGAGTGTTACTTTGCCAGTGACTGGCAGGATTAAGAAAGCCATGAACCCACCGGACCTGCAGCACAAAAGTCCAGTGGCCGGTGCTGTTCTCCTCACACATGGGCCTGTTTGGTGATCTCTTGGGGTCAATGAGTTAACAGCTCTTCCTGGACCAAAGGTCAGTCCCAAAGGGGACTGGCTGAGGGGAACTGGATCTCACACAAGCAGGACAGACACATCATGTGTGGGTAGGTAAGTTCCCAGCAATGTTTGGTCATTTGGTCACTGTGCAAAGTCACAGTAAAGGGATCACTGCTGTACACGTGATCTCTGTTGGAGAAATTGTCATTTTGTGGCCTGTGGCTGCAGGACCAAGAACTCAGGCCCTTTGATGCTCCACGTTCCAACAAGCCAGCTTCTGGTCACTCCTTTCCCTCAGGGCTCTTCTATCAGGAGCACAAAGGAGTTCCCATGTCATTTTTCCTCTTCAGAGCTAGGCAGAGGACTGAGGAGGAGGCTCATCTTGTCTTACGCAGAGAAACAAGTTTAATAATCAAAGCATGGGGGGGGGGGTGCAGAGACAGCTCAGCAGTTCAGAGCACTTGCTGTTAGCAGAGGAGACCCAAGTTCGGTTCTCAGCACCCATGTCAGGTCACTGCCACCTGTAACTCCAGCTCCAGAGGATCTGACACCCTCTTCTGGACTCGGAGAACACCTGCAGCTAACATGGACACATCCCCACACAGACACACAGACACACAGACCCTCACATAATTACAAAAATACAAATAAAATAAACCTTTCAAGAATTCAGAACATGGCTCACAACAATAATCCCAGCACTCTGGAGGCAGAGCAGGAAGAACGGAAGTTCAAGGTCATCCTTGTAAGTAAGTTTGAGGCCTGCCTTGGCTACATGATACCTTGCCTCAGGAAATAAAAAAATTACCTATGATAGTCTTCTGCCTACATACACTGAGTAGGACCATGTTATTTTTTACTTACTAACTGAGCCAAAAGGACAGCTGTACCCAGAAATCCAACATGTCAATATGACTTTTACATCATTTTTCTAAAAAGATTTTATTTTATTTTAAATTATGTGTGGGTATGTGTGTCTGTGTGGGGGTATGTCCACAAGGATACAGGACATCAGATATTCCTGGAGCTGGTGTTACAGGCAATTGGGAGCTGTCTAATGTGGGTTCTCTGTAAGAACGGTAGACACTTTGAAGCACTGCGCCCTCTCTCCAGCCCCCATCATTTTCAAGGGGGAAATACTGACCCTATCCACCCAGGAACGTCCAATGGAGAGGCCTCCCCCTGCTTTGTGTTCCTCTCCCCAGTCTCTAAGCTTCGATGTTCACAGATGGAGTGTCGGAGCCCTCCCACCCAGGAGAAAAGTCGGGGCTGACAGGGATGCTCCGAGAAGGCAGGAGTTACTCTCACCAGCAGCAGGTCCACACAGGGTGGGGCCATTCACACTACAGGGCTTGCCAGATGCTGTCTCCAGTTAGAGCATGGGAAACAAGGGGGGCTTTAAGATGCAAAAGGTCACATAGGAGGAAAGAGGAGGAGCCACGGGTTAGACACCATTCTATAGCTAACACTGTGAACATCCGATTGATTCATCACAAGTAGGAGAAACTTGTCTATAGAAGGCTGGAGCTTCCTGTCAACAGTCCAGTATCAGCAGAAAGAACGTTGGAAACATGAGTCAGAAGGTCTGCCTCTGTTTGTGCACGTGAGTGTGTACATGCTGGTGTGTGCACGTGTGTAGGGAGATCAGAGGTTGAAGATGGATGGCTTTCTTTTTCACTCTCCACCATATATTTACATTTTAAAAATTGTACTTATTTTGCGTGCATATGTATGTGCATGAACACACATACATGACAGCCTGATGTCAAGGTCAGAGGACAACCTGCAGAAGTCAGTTCTCTCCTTCCATCATGTGGGTTCTGGGAATCAAACTCAGGTCTTCAGGCTTGGCAGCAAGTAACTACCCACTGGGCTGTCTTGCTGGCCCTACACCTAGCATTTTGGCATGGGTTCTGGGGTTCAAACTCAGGTCCCCATGCTTGTAGGACAAGAACTTTACCAACTGAGCCATCTCCCCAGTCCATGCCTAGGTTTCAATATTGATTCTTTCAGTTATTACTTATGTAAATTTAATTTGACCTATAAATGTAGTAACTGTCAAACAGGGCTAATATTGGCTACTATTGCCTGCTGTGGGATGTCTTTCTGTATGCTGTGAATATGTGTTGCTCTGATTGGTTGATAAATAAAGCTGCAATGGCCTATGGCAAGGCAGCTTAGAGGCAGGCGGGAAATCCAAGCAGATATACGGAAAGAAGAAAGGAGAGGAGGGAGAGATGCCTAGCTGCCACCCAAGGAGAAACAAGATGCCAGCAGACTGGTAATGCCACGGCCACATGGCAAAACATAGATGAATAGAAATGGGTTAATTTAAGATGAAAGAGCTAGCTAGCAAGAAGCCTGCCATAGGCCATACAGTTTGTAAATAATATTAAGCATCTGAATGATTATTTTATAGGTGGACAGTCAGTGAGGCCTTGCTGCCTGGAGGGCTCTCTCTGTGCTGCCAGAGGGAAGAGTACAAAGAAGTCTGAGAGCTAACATTCTTCTAGGTAGAGTAACTGAGGAAGGAGCTGATGTTCAATTCTTGACAGTTCTCTTGATGTGAAGAATGCTTAGCATCCCGCAAGCAACTCCAGGTGCCGAGTTACCAGCTTCTGTTGCCAATTTTCATCTCCTACCTGACTTTTCCAGTTGTCTGGGAGGGGTAAGTGGTGGTTGGGGCCACCGTACTTCTCGTTGTAGTAGAAATAGGTGTTGAGGTCGGGGAAGTTGCGGTTCAGGTCCACTCCATTGGCGTTGTTCCTACCAACCAGATACCCAGATGTGTTTGGGCCCTGGGAGAAATGGAGAAACAGAGAGAGGAAAAGATGAGCATTTAAGACAGAACCCTATATTTCAAGAGTGTCATGTAACTTTTAAAGGTACTAACTACATTAGTTACTTTTCTGTTTCTGTGATAAAATACCATGACCAAAATCAATTTAAGATAAAAACGTTTTATTTTAGATTATGGCTCCAGAAAGAGAGAGGTGAGCGGAGAGAGGGTGAGTTTATAAAAATGGGCCAGAAAGTAGGGCATGGTTGACATGCTACCATGATCAGGGCATGGTAGCAGGAGCAGGAGGTTGGCTGATCATGGTTAATCATAGGATGGAAACAGTGGAAGAGATCAGTGAGGCTGTAAATCCTCAAAGCACACCGACAGTAATGTACTTCCTCTAGCAAAGCTCAACCTCCTAAAGGTTCCAACCCCTTCTGCCCAAAGCACCACCAATGAGGGATCAAGTGTTCAAACACATGAGCCTATGGAGGGTATGTCTCATTCAAACCAACACACTAGCTTAATTTATGAAATGATGTAGCATTATTGCCTTTCATGTATCCAGTGTCCCCCTTGGGTGGTTCAAATGTAGACACCATGAAGTTCTAGGGGGTCCCAGGAGACTCCTAACATAGCTTTACAGAATTGCTTAAGAATACAATTCAAGGCCGGGCGGTCGTGGCGCACGCCTTTAATCCCAGCACTTGGGAGGCAGAGCCAGGTGGATCTCTGTGAGTTCGAGGCCAGCCTGGGCTACCAAGCGAGTCCCAGGAAAGGCGCAAAGCTACACAGAGAAACCCTGTCTTGAAAAATGAAAAAAAAGAAAATACAATTCAATACATTTTAATATGCCCACAGAGTGGGAAAAACAACACCACCATCACGGTTATTCTAAAATCATAATTTCAGGACATTTCTGTCCCTGTAAAAATAAACCTCATTCCCACTCATGGTTAATTTATGAAATGATGTAGCATTATTGCCTTTCATGTATCCAGTGTCCCCCTTGGGTGGTTCAAATGTAGACACCATGAAGTTCTAGGGGGTCCCAGGAGACTCCTAACATAGCTTTACAGAATTGCTTAAGAATACAATTCAAGGCCGGGCGGTCGTGGCCGAGTTCGAGGCCAGCCTGGGCTACCAAGCGAGTCCCAGGAAAGGCGCAAAGCTACACAGAGAAACCCTGTCTTGAAAAACGAAAAAAAAGAAAATACAATTCAATACATTTTAATATGCCCACAGAGTGGGAAAAACAACACCACCATCACGGTTATTCTAAAATCATAATTTCAGGACATTTCTGTCCCTGTAAAAATAAACCTCATTCCCACTCATGGTTGCTTCTTATTTTCACCCCAGTGCTGAAAAGTCATATTCTGTATCTGTGGAAACAAGATGTGTACAAAATGAGGTAACAAGCCATGAGCCACGTGGCAGGCAGCAAGTAAAGGGACAGAAATGGGTTAATTTAAAATGTAAGAGCTAGTTAGTAACAAGCCTAAGCTATCAGCCGAGCTTTTATAATTAATAATAAGTCTCTGCATGGTTATTAGGAGTGGCTAGCAGGACAGAGCTGATTGGTGGTCCAGGAAAAAAACTCTGCCTACATGATGTATAGCAGGACGTTTTCTTTCCGGCTCCCCTGACTTCCCCAATGTTTCTGTTTCTGCATATCTTTCCTTTCTTCTCTCTTCCCTCTATGGTGGCTGGAATGATCCCATAAGTCTCTGGCTTTTGAATACTTGGTTCCAGTGGTGGCTGTTTGGGGACTTCTGTGGCTGTTTGGGGCTGTTTGAGGTGTGACCTTGCTGGAGAGAGGATGTCCCTAGGGGTGAGCTTTGAGGCTTCAAAAGACCCGTACCATTCCCAGTGTCTCTCTGCCTTCTGCTCTCAGGTCAAGATGTGAGCCCTCAGCTAACCCTGCCACCACGCCTTTGCTCTGCCATTATGGGGATTCTAAGGCTCTGAAACTGCAAGCCCAATTAAATGCTTTCATAAGTTGCCTTGGCCATGGTGTTTTGTCACAATAACAGAAAAGCAACTAGTACATCTATCCCCCTGTCCTTCCCTCCCTCATGAGACAAGGTTTTATGTATTCCAGGCTGGTCTTAAACTAGCTATATAGCAAGGATGGCCATGAACTTTTGATCCATGAACCACTATACCTGGTTTTGTTCTCCTTATAAGGGAATCAATAAAACTGGCTTTTGATTATGATTGTCTATAGATCCGTGTTTTAGACAGGGAAGTATATTTTTACAGGGGGTAGCCATTACCACAGAGGTTCATAACCATTCAAAGCGCTAAGAATATGTGACTGTTGATGGCTTAGCCTTAGATGGGACACCTGCTCCCCTTCCAAGGCTCCAGGGACACCGTGGAAGAGGTGGTGGGATGGAGGAGTGCTGTGGAATGCTAGCTCCCAGGCCTGACAACAGTTGTTGAATTCATGGACTCACACCAGCTGTGATTCCCTGTGTAAAACCTGCACAAGGTTGGGCTCCTCAAAACTCCCTAGACCCCACCCTCTCTGAGGATTTACAGACAGTTAATGGTTGCTAGGGGGAAGGGCTCCCAAGGCCCTGCCCATCCCTGAAGAGCTATTGACGGTCAATGGATACTGGGGAGTTCTTCAGTGGTCTAGCCACAAGTAAAGTGCTCATGTTCCAGTAACTGACCCTTCACGCATGCTCACAAAAGCAACCTTAATTAAACTCTGGGTCACACGCAGGAGGTAGAAAGGATGACTTTATATACATGTATGAAAATGTCACCAAGAAACCCTTACGTATAATTAACATATGCTAATGAAACCAAATTATGGAATAATAGGATTCTTATCTTCTGAGTAGTCTTAACCTTCTGGATCCCTTAACTTCTCTGTTCATAGTTCAGATTTTATCTTTATTTGTTCATGAATTCCCTCACCCACCTTCTCATTCATCCATCTAGCCAACCGCCATTCACTTAATTCACTTACGAATTGTCAATCCAAGGCCCTCAGACACTGGGGAAAGAGCTAAGTGAGATATTACTCTAGCCTCCTAGGAATTCATAGCACACTTGGGGGGCTAGACACATACATAAATAAACAGAAAGTGGTAACAGAGATGGGTTAAGATTACCACTAGTAGCCGGGCCTCTGTTAAGAGCACTTGCCTGGCATTCACAAAGTGTTCTGTTCAGTCCCTGGCACTGGTAAATAAATACCAGGCACGGTGGCATATGTTCAGAAGTTCAAGGTAATGTTTTGCTTCCTAGCAAGTTCAAGGTCAGCCTGTGCTACATGAGATCCTGTTTCAGAGTGTGTGTGGCGGGGGGCAGGTCTGTGTGTGTGCGTGTGTGTGGGGAGGTCATCAGAATTATTTTTTGTGTCACTGGAGAAGGGGAATAGTGTACACTACAGCCCTACAGATGAAGTGGGTAAAGCTCAAATTCTTGGCTGTTCCCAGAAGTGAGGTGAACGAACCTCACTTCCTATTGGAAACTCAGAGATGCCATTCAAATTTTCCCTAAGAATCTTTATCATTCTCCGCGTTTCCCTTTTTACATGGGCATCCCACTCACATTTTATTCTTAGACTGCACTGAAAACACGACATTTTTAAAAGTTCTCTTCAGTTACCTACATAATTTCTGCTACAGTGCAAACATTTATGGACTTCGGAGTTTGGTATGCACTTCTAAGCAGGGCTTTTCTCACTACTTCTTGTTCTGAGCAATGTAGCTCTTTTTTGTTTTCTTTTCTCTGTGTAGCCCTGGCTGTCCTGGAACTCACTTTGTAGACCAGGCTGGCCTTGAACTCAGAGATCCACCTGAATCTGCCCCTCAAGGGCTGGGATTAAAGGTGTGCACCACCACTGCCCGGCGGCAATGTAGCTCTTAACTGTCGATATTAAGAGCAATGGGCTTTATCAGTTGATTTTGTACATAACTGGTCCTTAGTCAGGCTGGCAAGGAGGGGCTTTCTGAGCAGCAGGTTGTGGGTTGGTGTCAGAGTGTTTACTTAGTGTGTGTGTGAAACTTCTGGATTTCATCTCCAGCAGAGCCAAAAAAAAAAAAAAAAAAAAAAAAAGGAAGAGGAAGAAAAGGGGGGGTAGAGAACAGGAGGAAAGAGAGGAAGAGGAGGGAGGGGAAGAGGAGGAACATCACCTAGCTGAAGGCTCCTAGGTTCCCATAAACAGAGCAAATGGTGTAATAGATTTCTATTGCTAAGCTGGACGGCTCTATCTACAACCATAATTCTCTCTACCCAAGCAATATCACGTTTTTCATAGGTTTGGGGGTTAGGGCGTGAATCACCAGGGAACCTTTGATTCTGCTTCTCTGCACGTGGCTTTAAAGTCTGGCTAGGCATCTCCCCGGGCAGACAGCTTTTCTCTGGGCAGTAGTCCTGGAACCTGCTAGGTCCTCTCTCAGATTCAACCAAGTTCAAGACCTGCTCCCTCTGATTAGGAACACACCAGGCAGGCAGAGAAGGGGCCACAGGGGATTTCTGCTCCCCCTCCTTTGTCTGTTGCAAAGGATGTGGGCAGCACGGAGTTGCTTCTCCAGCTTCCCTGCTGTGCACAGAGGACGCTAATGCAGGACAGGAGCCCTTGCTGGAGTTCTCCCTCCTCAAGGCCGGAGGCCTGGCAGGGCTTTCCATCGGTTCTCTCTCCCTGTGTTCAGTCGCTTGTCAGCATCCTGGCTCGGACACCCATTCTGCCTCCACTCTCCCCGCCTCAAGCAGATTTAAAATATACTTTAACGTAACCCTCCTTCTGTAAAGACATTTAGATACAGCTTTTAAAAGAATGCATGTGCTGTGTGGACGGCAGCCTGATGCCCAGGCCTTTCTGTGACGTTAAGGAGACTGAACTGGGACCCGGAAGCCACATTTCAAAGATCTTCCCCTGTTATTCTGACACAGGTCCACGAAGCAGCACCAGGGTTTAAAGGGAGACTTGAAGGCATGCTGCATTTACGTTAGGGAACGAAGGGCAGAGCGATCAAGCACGTTCCTGTGCATCTCACTGCAAAAACAATTCCAGAATAACGAACTGGAACACTGAGCACTGCGCCAGCAGCAGCGTGGACCCAGCCTCCCGCGCCTGAGTCAGGCGGGGCCTGAGTTTGAGACCCGCTTCGGGAGGCTGGGGAATATAGTTCAGTTTATATTAACTCGGCTAGCATGTTTAGTTTAAAGCCTCGATGGGTTAAAGGGGTGGGAGGGAGAAGAATCATCTAGAATTAACCTCCCACCCCAATATCGGGGGAAAGTGTGTGCTCTTCTGCTAAAGGGACAGGAAGGTGGGTATGTGGTAACACCCTCGCACGTCTGCAGTGTTGTACTGGTTGGCGGGACTGGGACTGGCGTGGAGGGCTCTGAGGTTCAACCAGAGCCCACAGTGGGGCACTTCAGGGATGCTAACGTTTTAACCCTTTGCTTCTGCCTTTCCCTGCACCCCAGCTGTTTTACCCTTCTCTTCCCTCTCCCCCTTCCCTTTCCTCCCCTCCCTCTTTGTACTGACATTTACAAAGGGACATGGGACACACTGTCCACTGACTCATTTCACAAGACGCCGTTAGTCTCTTCTGTGCCTTGCCCTTGGACAGCGTACCTGCGCGGCAGCCACCTCGTAGCCGTCAGGGTTCATGGAAGGCAGGATGTGAATGCGCGTGTCCTGGATGAGGCGCAGGATCCGCTGGTTCCGGTTCCGGAACTCCTCGCAGAGGAACTCCGACAGCTGCAGGAGCAGCTCCCGGCCTAGCACCTCATTTCCGTGCATGTTCCCCACGTACTTGACTTCCGGTTCCACTGGAAACAGAAGCACAACCCAGCTCTTGAAGGGGCAGGCAGGAAGACCACGAGTTCAAGGCCAGCTTTAGCTTACATAGTGAGTTCCAGACTAACCTAAGACTCACAAGATTGTCTCACCCCACTCCACCATATCGTCCCCTCCTCCATAAATGAATGAATGAATGAATGAATGAATGAATGAATGAATGAATGAATAAATAAATAAATAAATAAATAAATAAATAAATAAATAAATAAATAAATGGAAAGAAAATTCAGGCTTTCCTTATGTCTTTAGGTCTTTCCCAGAAACCCCTGAACCCCTTCCGAATAAACTGCGATTGGAAAAGCTATAGAAATCCATGTCTGGGATAATAACACCACCATGTATTGACCCCCCAAGTGTACTAGCTGTTCATGTCATTATTGCTAACCTTCACAGAGAACTTGTGGAGCAGGTCCCACAGCCTCAGCGTGAAGGAGAGTGAGTGATAGAAGATGCTAAGTAACTTGTCTGAGGCTGCCTGTGTTAGAGGTCAAAGACCAGGGAGCACTCAGGACTATTTGGAGGAGCGCACGCATAAAGACACACCCAGAACACTGCTTGGACACCAGCCTTTCTGGGCCATGGCATTTCCCCAAAACCTGTCTCATAAAGTACTCTTGGTCCTAGAACAGGCTTCCCTGTTGAAGATGTAAGTTGTTTGGTCTATGGGGCTCTGGAATCCCTTCTTCAGAGCCAGAAAGGCATGTCTTGAGGCATGAGAGAAAGGAATCGCCTATTGCCTGGGTCCTTATTCTTCCCTTTGGCCACATTAGCTGTTAACAGACATCAGAAGTGAGAGTCTGTGAAAACCTCTAGAGCAGCGGTTCTCAACCTTCCTAATGCTGTGACCCTTTAAAATAGTTCCTTATGTTGTGGTGACCCCCAACCATAAAATTATTTTCATTGCTACTTCATAATTGTAATTTTGCTACCGTTATGAATTGTAGATATTGGCTATGCAGGATATCTGATATGCGACGCTGTGGGGCCTCAACCCCCAGGCTGAGAACCACTGCTCCAGTGTCACGTGAGACAGCTGTGCTGGGCTCTGAACAGAAGTTCCTGCTGATGCTGCCTTCTTTCCTCCACAGCACACTTCTGCTTCCCTGCTGGTCGACTCTTCCTCTGGGTCCCTTATTTCCTCGCTGTCCCCACAGTCCGGTTCAAACACGGTAAGTCCATGTCACCAGCTTAAGCTCTTCTTGCTAGAAGTGAGTCCTTTGTGGCCTTCCCTTTTATGGTACTTATTGTTCTGGGCTCTATCTACACAGGCACATACATGTCCTGCTTCCTTTATGGGACCTAGTATTAGCCAAGTAGATGATCTTAACACACCTTTAGAAAAAAAAATCCATCATTATTTATCTTAGTGTTCCTGTATATAACAAGCCTCTCTAAAAGAATGCCTTCAATCCACAATGATCATATTTTTAAAAATAATATGCAGGCCCAGTATAGTGGTGCTTGCCTTTAATCTCAGCACCTGGGTGTCAGACAGGCCGATCCCTGTGAGTTTGAGGCCAGCTTGGTCTACACAGCAAGTTCCAGGCCAGCAGGGCTACCTAGAGAAACCCATCTCAAGAAAAATATCATTTCATTTAATACGTATTCTATTGTTTTAATCTTTTTCTTTCTTTCTCTCTTTCTCTCTCCCTTCCTTCCTTCCTTCCTTCCTTTCTTTCTTTCTTCCTTCCTTCCTTCCTTTCTCTTTTTCTTTCTTGTTTGTGTTTATTTGTTTGTTTGTTTGCTTGAGACAGGGATCTATCTCTATGTAGCCTTGGACTGTCCTGGAACTTGCTATGTAGAGCAGGCTGGCCTCACAGAGCTCTTCCTGCTCCTGCTTCCGAGTGCTGGGAATAAAGGTGTGCACTGCCACTCGTAGCCTCTTCCTTCCTTCCTTTCTTTTTTTTTTTAAGGAAATGTTTGTGATAGTAAATAGCAGGTATTTGTCTTCGGGAAAACCAAATTTGGAGAATCTGTTTAGTCTCCTCTCTTAGTTATCCAAAGCAATGGGAGACTCGGGCAGAGGAGCCGCTGGTCTGGTTCACACAGCATTGTGCTGTGTGTTTAGTGGGAGCTCACCAGCAAGCCCTCTGCTTCTTATTTCCATAGAGACAGAATACAACCATTTCCCATAATAAGCACCGCACCGCCGGCGATTACTGTGGCTCGAACTCTCACACCTTCACACCTGCATCTTCATAACCCATCTCCCACTTAGTCAGTCTTCCTGCATCTGTGTGAATCCTTAGCAGCCATGCTCCCAATCAGGGGCTGATAAAACTTCTGTAAAGGGCAAGGAGGGGCTTTGTGGACAATGTTATCACTGTCACAACTACTCAACTCTTTCAGTAGAAGCCAGCACAGATAATTTGAGAGCAGATTGAATGTTATGGTGTTCCATGAAACTTCATTCACCCCGACAGGGAGATAAGTGGGATCAGAACATGATGTGATATCCACAAAGAACCAATAAAAGTTAAACAAACAAACAAACAAAATGAACTAAAAAGCCCATTCACCAGAGCAAGTGGCTGGTCCTGAGGCTGCGATTGTTGGCCTCCATCCCAAGTCATCTTTAAAGTCAGAGTGCATCACTTTTCTGTCTAAAACTCTACAGCAGTATCTCACTTTGCTCAAAGTAAAGGCCAAGATGGGTCCCCCTGCTTCTAAGTCCCGAACAAGCTCCCTGGTGCCCAGTGCTCTCAACCACCTGACTCTGACCTTGGTGCCAATTGTGCTCTGGCTCCTGGGGGCTGCATTTTCTTTTCCTTAGGCTGCCATGCCCTCCCCCTCAGAGACCTTCAGATCTCTGCTCAACACCACCTCTGCTAGAGAAGCCTGTGGGGCACCAGTGACCTCCTCTACTTCCCTCTCAATTGTCACATAGCAGGACCATCTCTCCTTCCTGTTTAAGTTCTTGCTACAGAACTTACTCCATCTGACATACCAAGCATTTGCCCAGTGCCCCATTTATTGATGGTCTTAGTCTGCTATAATTCAGGCCTAGTAAGGAAAAGCCTGTATTATTCTTTGCTGTATTTCTAAAGCCTATAAAAGTGCCAGCATGCCTGGCTGGAAGTTCTTTTTAATAAGCATCTCCCACTCTCTTTCCTTCTGGTTTATTATTTAATCATATGTGTGTATGTATGGGTGTTCCATAGAGCCCAGAAAAGGGTATCAGATCCCTTTGAACTGGAGTTACAGGTGGGTGATCTGCTGGGTGCTTGGAACCAAACTTGGGGCCTCTATAAGAACAGCAAGTGCTCTCTTGACAGCTGAGACATCCCTACATCCCCAACAAAAGTTCTTCTCTCTGGCAGGCAATGGGGAACTATTTGTGGAATGGAGGGATGTAAGGAGCAAATGAAAGAACTGCTGACTCAGGGGGAAAGAGGGATCCCTGAGAGCCAACATTGTCTGCAACAGCCTCAAGGAAGGCCTTGAGCCCTAGAGGTAGAGGAGCACCAGGAAGGGGCGTGGCCTGAAGGGGCGTGGCCTGAAGAGGCTAACCTCATAAAGTCCATCAACAGCCTTAAGCTTCCACAATATGCATGTGATCTGAGTAAAAGCAGGTGCTTGCTAGGCAAGACCCTAATCCCAGGGAACCACATCGTTCTTCTTGAGCTTTCTCTGTATAAAATTGGAAGCTCTCACTGTCAGTCTCCATTGCACCTGTAAAGCAGGAGTGCAAGAAGACTGTATGTGTAATGAAAGAAATGGTCTGGCCTCTCCCCGGCAAGTGAGAGGGTTCAGAGAATGGTCATCTTTGGATGGGAGACCCATTGGGAGTGTCGTGCAATGATTGAAAGCAAATTATAATGCAGAATGGAGCAGGGCTGGGGTATGGGAGGGAGAGACAGTCTGAAGGAGGAACGGACATAAGTCATGTGATTTAACTCAAATGTCACCATTGTTGGAAACAAAGCAACAAGAGACATTATCCAAGTTCATCAGTGTGTGAGCAGTTAATGAAGCCAGACAATAGCATGTCACACAACCAAGAATGCCATAGAGGGTCATTCATTGACACAGAGTGAAAAGACACTTGCCTTTGAGAGGTAGGATTGACTATCACGTCTGGAAGGAGCGATATCAAGCCATGTAAATAAGAGTTATCCTTGAGTGTTTGGACTGTGTTTCAGTTTGTTATTTTTTTCCTTATCTAATTTCTAGTTTTTTCAGTTGGTTGGTTGTGTTTCGAGATGGACTTTTTTTATGTTGCCTGGCTGGTCATGAACTATTTTTGAAGCAAACATGGATTGCTTGGATAACAGAAGCAAACTAACAAAAAAGAAAACGAATATCCCAGCCTCTAAACTCTCTCTAGGACACCATGTTGGATCACTGCCCTTCCTGGAAGAGATCTGCCTGGACCCTCGGGAGAATGAGGAGGTCAACCATTTCTGCTATGTTCACAAGCTATTGGATCCTGATAGAAGGAATAAGAGAAAAAGACCAGGGGTGTGAGGGAAGAGAGGGGAGGCTGGAGGGAACAGGAGGAAGACACCCTTTACCCCCGAAGTTTTGAGCAAACAGAACTCAGGAAGGAGGAATGCGCTGGAGCCTGAACTGGGGTTGCAGCTCCCCAGGTCCCAGAGAATCTTGAGAGCCAAGTAAGACGGCCTGCCTTCTCAGGTGGAGGAAGAGGTAATGCATTGTATATGGAGGTCTCTTGCTGCACCAACCACCACCTCTGGATTTGTAGAAGGTGTTAGTTTCTCAACACGCCCCAGAACCACTCAAGACTTACAGGCCTCATGGATCCCCGGGTGGTCGCTGAACTCCAGCACGTAGAGGTACCTCCCCTTCACGCTGCGCCCGATATTGTAGAGCCGCGTGATGTCCGGGCATTGGTTGTGCACCTTGTATAGCGTCCGCACGAGGTCATCATAGCGGTGGTGACGAAAGGTCACAGGGGCGACTAACTTGGAGAGAAGGAGGAGCGGCAGGAAGGCTGAAGGTAGATCTGGCATCTCACCGAGCTTCCCAGCGGCTCTGCAACGTGCCTTCCCGTCTCAGGATGCAGAGCCAAGAGCGGCCAGGCCTGGCCTCGCACCTGCCACACCTGCAGAAGACTGGGGACCGGCCTCTGTGACTCTGGGAATTATTTCTGAGGTCCTGGGATAGCCACGATGCTCCGCGGGCTCATGTCTCTTCCTCTCTTAAGCCTAGAAAACCTTTTGGGAGGTTTCTGCGCATCCCCACTTTGGGATTCTGGCTTACTGATTAACTGGACTGTAAACAGGCCTCAAGAAACAGCTGCTTATAACCCTTTGGTGCCCAGGGGCTTTTAAGAGATTCGGCATGTACTTGTTACAACTTACAAAAGGGGCTCTCTGTTCCCTTTGGCCGCACCCCACCCCCTGTGCCCCATTCTGAAGCACCGTTCTGTCTTGTCCTCCCCACTCAAAACCAAAACAAATTGAGAAAATGAGGCACATGCTTCGAGCAAGCAATTGGAGATCACATATTTGATAATGTGGCTATAATTAATACATTATGTATAACAAAACGATAGGAAGACAGTCCTATTTCAACACTGTCAAGGGACAGTGGCTTTCTGAATAGGACTCTGACAGCTGAGGAAATTAGAGTAATAATTGGCAGATGTGATTGCATCAAACTAAAAGATTTCGCCATAGCGAAGAGTATCGCCCACAGGGCAGGAGAAAATGTTTGCCAGATATTAATCTAATAGAAAATTAATATCCAAAATGTAAAGAACTTGGAAAATTAAACCCCTGCTGGAATGCACTGGTACACACCTATAATTCTAGTACACAGAAGCTGGAGGATTGCTGGAGTTTGAAGTCAGTCTGGTCTATGTAGTGACTTCCAGGCCAGCCAGGGCTAGCTGATCAGACCTTGTCTCAAAAACCCCAAATAGGGGCTAGAGAGATAGTTTAGCAGTTAAGAGCAAAGGCTACTTTCCAGAGGACCCAGGTTTGAGTCCTGCACCCACATGGTAGTTCATAACCGCCTATAACTCCAGTTCCAGGGGACCTGATAGCCTCCCCTGGCCTCCACAGGTATGGTACCACAGTCATGGTAACAGACAGACATGTGGGCAAAACACCCACACACATAAAATTTAAACAACAGTATCTTAGGGTTTCTATTGCTGTGAAGAGATACCATGACCATGACAACTCTTATAAAGGAAAACATTTAATTGGGGGCAGCTTACATTTTCAGAGGGTTCGTCATTATCATCATGGTGTGACATGGTGGCGTGCAGGCAGACATGGTGCTGGAGAAGGAGCTGAGAGTCCTATATCTTGACTCAAGGCAACAGGAAGTGGTCTAAGATACTGGGCATGGCTTGAGCATATAGGAGACCTCAAAGTCCACCTCCACAGTGACACACTTCTTCCTACAAGGCCATACTACTCCGACAAAGCCACACCTCCTAATAGTGCTACTCCCTATGAGCTTATGGGGATCAATTACATTCAAACTACCACAAACAGCAACAGTAAAATTAAACATAAGAACAAATAGTGTAATCAATGAGTAAACGAGCTGAATAGACACTTTTCAAATCAAGATGTTAACATCTTTAATCATGAGGAAAATGCAAATGAAAACAAGACGGAAAGTCTGTCTTGTAGATGTAACAGTCTTATTAAATAAGAAACACAGAGCCAAATGCAGAGTTAAAAGCCCAAGAGGTCAGAGCAGTAGCTAAGAGCTGAGACTAAAACCCTTTCTTACCCCTCGATGCTGCTGCCGTCCATCCCCTCTGAAAGAGACCTACTTCCTGTGTATGTCTTTTTATTGACTTTCTGTTCTGCCTTCTCATTGGTTGTAAACCCAACCACATGACCTCCTCATCATTGCCTGTCTTTATAGATCTCTAGGCCTTCTATGGTTAGTATTGAGATTAAAGGCGTGTGTCTCCATGCTGGTGGTGTCCTTGAACACACAGAGATCTGTCTGTCATGTGATCGGGATTAAGGGCATATGCTACCACAGCCAGACTTCTGCTATGGCTTGCTATTAGCTCTGACCCCCAGGCATTTTTATTTATTAACATACAAATAAAATCACACTTCAGCACAAATAAAATATCACCATACTGTCTCACTCCAGTCAGGATGACTAACATCAAGAAAAGAGCAATGCTGGTGATAACATAGAGAAATATAAATCAGTCCCCAGCCATTCTGGAGATAAGTATGTGTTTCTTACAAAAAATTAAAATCATGTCATATGACCTGGCTATCACACTTGGGTGTATGTCCAAAGGAGTCTAAGTCAGCCCAACAGGGTGAACCCTTTACACCTGTGTTCACTGTGGCTCTATTCACAACAGTCATGTGTGAATATTATTTATTTTTAAATCATGTGTAAAATCTTATTTTAAAAAAGACATTAAGCTGGGCAGTGGTGCCGCACGCCTTTAATCCCAAAACTCGGGAGGCAGAGCCAGGCGGATCTCTGTGAGTTTGAGGCCAGCATGGGCTACAGAGTGAGTTCCAGGACAGGCTCCCAAGCTACACAGAGAAACCCTGTTTCAAAAAACCAACCAACAAACAAACACATTAAGTAGAAGGAGGTTATTAGAGAATTGAAATAGACATTTTACCAAAGTATGTATGGTCAGTTTTTTAAAATGCTCAATATTATTAGTTATTAAAATCCAAGGTTAGACCAGATATCCCTTTACCTACCCCAGAATGACCCTAATATAGAGGAATGCTAACAGCATCGGTAAGGATAGGGACAGCAGGGCCCTCACAGTGCTCATGGGAAAATCAGGTAGCGCAGACATTTTCGAAAATAGTTCAACAGTTTCTTGAAGATTAAATATGCATTTCCCATATAACCCAACAATTCTACTCCTGGGTATTTACCCAAAAGAAGTAGGACCTGCATACCCGTAAAAGCTCGAGCATGAATGTCAACAGCAGCCCTACTGAAAGCCAAGAGTTGACACCTTGTGCAATGTGGATGTATGTTAAACGCTATGTCCCACAAGGGAGGCTCCACTGTGTGTGAATCCTTTCACTTGAGACGCTGACAAAAAGCTGACATCAGTGTGGAGAAATCGGCTGTGGGTTCCAGACTACCCACAGCTAGGCCTGGGCTGAGGGGCAACTGTAACTAGACACAAGGTTTCTTTTTAGGGTCATAAAAGTTCTAAAACCAGATAGCAAGGATGGTGGCTGTGGGTGTCCAACTGGAAATGTACTAATATGTATCTTTTAAAATTTAGATGTATTTATCTATTTAGTAGGGGGTGGGATGCTCGCATGCCATGGCTCACATGAGGAGGTCACATGACAACCTGTAGGAGCTGGTTCCCTCCTTGTACCACGTGGATCTCTGCATCAAACTCAAGTCATCAGTCTTGACAGTGAGCACCTTCAGCCACTGAGCCAGCTCACTGAACCTGCACACACACACACACACACACACACACACACACACACACACACACACACACGAGATAGGATCTCATTGTATAGTCCTGGATGGCCTCAAATGCACAGAGATCTGTGGTGATATTTTGTTGTACTCTAATAAAGCTTGCCTGAGGATCAGAGGACAGAGCCAACTACTAGATTAAACATAGAAGCCAGGCAGTGGTGGCACATACATATAATCCTAGCACTGGGGGGGAGGGCAGAGATCTGTCTGGATCTCTGTGAGGTCAGGGCCACACTGGGCTACATGAGACTGATCCAGTCTAGGACAGAAACAGAGCCAGGCAGCCGTGGCACACACCTTTAACCCCAGTATTTGGGAAGCGCACACACCATCAATCCCAGCACTAGGAAGGTTGTGATAGGAAGTAAAATGGCTGGGCGGAGAAAGGCATATAAGGCGTGAGGAGACAGGAACTAGAGAGCTTTTCTGACGAGGACTCAGAGGCATTCAGTCAGAGGATTTGTGGAGCTGGCAAGGTGAGAAGTGGCTGTGGCTTGTTCCTTTGTCTCTCTGATCTTTCAGCATTTACCCCAGTATCTGGCTCCAGGTTTTTAATAAGACCAATTAGGATTCGTGCATCAGAGATCCAACCTGCCTCTCTTATCTCCTGAATGTTGGGATTAAAGGCATGCACCTCCATGCCTGGTTCCACTAATATTTTTGTACTATCCACTTAAACCAGGTGAACTTATGGCATGTGAATTATATCTAGTATAGCTATTTTTACAATGGTAATATAAAAGTAATTAGGTAAACCTCTCCCCATAGAAATGAATACAGCTTACCTTACAATTCAGTGGTTCCATTGATAGGCTTCTGCTCAAGAGTGTAAAGGTTTGCACTCAAGAATGTTTATGCTAGAATCATTCATAATAATTCATAAGTGGAAACTACACAAATGTCCATTAATTGGAGAGTAGACATGTAAAATGTTAGCTAGACATGGTGGTACACACTCAATCTCAGCACTTGGGAAGCTAAAGCGGGGGATTTTAGAGTTCAAGGCCTGCCTGGGCCACATAGCAAGAACCCATCAGACAGGGTTGGGGATGTGGGAAGCAGGGCATGGAATGAAGGAAAGAAAAGTGAAATGTATATAAATGCAATTGAATTCTATTTATCAATAAAAAGGAGTAAAAGCCTTGGTCCAATGTGGAGGGACTCCAAAAACATTATGCTACATGAGAAAAGAAGGATGCAACGTTGTACAATTCTACTTATATGAAATATCCTGTGAAGGTGAGCTGAAGAAATTAACAGTGTTTGCCTGAGGTAGGAGAAAGGAACGAGGGATGGGCAGGAGAGACTACTGGAGTGATGGGGTGCCCTAAAACAGGGTGACATGCATGGGTTTATAACTTGGTAAATCTACTAAAGTCACTGACTTGCCCCTTGAAATCCTCTGCCTTGCTCTGGTGGCCCATCACAAAACTTCCTCCTTCCAAGCACACATCCTTGCCTGAATGCCGCTCCCCTGGGGAGCTCAACCCTGCTCCAAATCCCTCTCCGGCCCTGAGAGTTGCTGCATTAGTCTCCTACTGCAATGTTCATGCCTCAGCCTGGTGTACATAGCTCACATGGAGCCGGAGGGGTCAGGACCAAGCACAGGCTTGCCTGGCACACTGTTCTGCCAGCACTGCTGTCTCCGGCTCCACCCAGGTGACTGCTGCAGGTGGCATTTGTGAGAGAATGAACAAACAGGTCCACTCACTGACTTCCCTTGCATCTCCATGCTCTGCCCTTAGCTAACGTGCTCAAGGGACTCCCACGCTCTACAACCCACCGATAAAGGTAACACTTCCCTCTTGGATATTCTGTGTGGAGCACATAGCCTGGCCAGTGTGGCTCACAGATGGCCCCAAGGGTGGCCCCAAGGTCAGTGCTAAGTTTTACCCCTGGACATCACTGATAAAATGTATAAAATAATTTTCCGGTATGATCTTGTCACCCTACATGGTGAAGGAAAGGATCCAGAGAAAAGTTTGAGAGGACAGTCATTGCTACTGCTGTCACACGCTGGCCCTTGATCTAGGGTATTTACTGTCACTAGTGAGGGTGTGGCTTGCTGGCCCCCAGATGGCTCCAATTATTCCTCTGTAGGAAGACTCCGCCTCTCTGGGGAGTGTGCTGACAATTCTTTATGCAGACTTCAATCATGTTAAATAGACGGCCCCTGTTCTCTAGGAGAGGGAGCCCCCTGACTTTCTATAGGAAACATTCTTTGTTAGCAGATTATTAGGGCTGAATTTGGGATAGCTTCCCCTGAATCCCACAGAATTTTGGAGTATGTGCCTTGAAGCTCCAGGGCCTACAATGTCCCTCAAATCCACTAGAAGTAAGAGGAACATGAACTTCAAGGGTCAAAGGTTAGATGTGAAACCTAACTCCAGTTCCTTTCTTTGCTCCTTTGACCTTGAGTAAAACTACTTCTCTAAACTTCAGTTCCCTTCAGCATAGTACGAGGAGATACAGTTCCTCCCTCATGGACTGTTGTGTCAATCAACTAAGATGATGGATGTATTCACCAATTTGATTATCAGGGTAGGCCAGTTCAGGGACCCTCATCACTGTTGCTAGTAGTCTAATCCGAGGTCCTCCTTGTGGATTCCTGGGAATTTCCCTAGCACCAGGTTTCTCTCTTACCCCATAATGTCTCCCTCTATCAAGATATCTCATTCATTGATCTCCCACTCTGTCCCGCCCCCACTCGACCATCCTGTTCCCTCATGTTCTCATCCTCCATCCCCTCCCCTCTATTGCCCCCTCATCCCCAGTTTACTCATCGAGATCTCTGTTTCCTCTTCCCAAGGTGTCATCAGAGAGCCTTCATCCAGTAACTGATGGAAGCAGATGCAGAGATCCACAGCCAGGCACTAGGCCGAGCTCTGGGAGTCCAGGTGAAGAGAGAGAAGAGGGATTACATGAGCAAGGTGGGGGGGCGGGGTCAAGATCATGATGGGGAAATCTCTAGAGACAACTGAACCAAGCTCAAAGGAACTCACAAACTTTATACTGACAGCTGTAGAACCTGCATGGGACCGGACTAGGCTCTCTGCTTGTGGGAGACAGTTATGTAGTTGGGTCTGTTTGAGGGGCCCCTGGCAGTGTGATCAGGATCTATCCCTGGTGCATGAGCCAGCTTTCTGGATCCCATTACCTATGGTCGGACACCTTGCTCACCCCTGATGAAGTAGGGAGGGGCTTGGTCCTGCGTCAACTGAATGTACCAGGTTTAGCTGTCTCCCCATGGGAGAACTTACCCTGTTTGAGGAGGTAATGAGAGATAGGTATGGAACAGTGGAGGAGAGTGGGAGGAGGGATGAGAGGGGGATCTGTGGTTGGTGTGTAAAATGAGTAAGAGAAAAGAAAGAAAGAGATGATGGATGTAAGGCCCTTTCCAGACCCTGGCATATGTCAAGTGCTCAGAAACCAGTAAACGGCAGCAAGAGATGGCCAGAGCAACAGCATCATTAAGCAGC